CTCTCTCTCTCTCTCTCTCTCTCTCAAATACTGCTGTCAAGTTTTTTTCTTTTTACAAAATCCTGCCAATTTTGGATTTCGTCTGATAAATTGTCAGTGGAGTAAAATTCGCCCAACCCTTTAAAGCAACTTGGTTTTAAGTTATGTACATTCTTTGGATGCAAGGAAAATAATGAGTATGATGACACTTTTGTTTCGGAAAATCATGTCGTTAAGGAAAGAATGAAATGATCCAGGTATGGAATAAAGGTGCGAAAATAATTTTCTATGCTATCTGTGTTGTAGTTCGCACGCCCACTGGTGAAACAGTTCTGGAGCAACCGAAATTTCCACTCGAATCGATGGCTACTCTGAAAACCCGCCATCAGTAGTAATAGATAACACCACTTATTTTATACTTCTTATTAGCTGAAGTATCATCAGTATTTGTAATTTTTCTCTTGAAGAAATTTCAAATATCCATATTTCTTTGTTTTTAAATAAAATATTAAATTTAAAATTTAAACAGACATTTAATCAAGAGTACTTACGCTTGTATTTTGAAATAAATAAATAATAAAAAGTATAGTCAACAAAACGCCGGTTTAACAACTGTTCGTCTTTACACGTCACTTCACCACAGATAAAAAGTGAAAACGGAATGAATTTTTGGACGTAAGCAATAAAATGTTTGCTCTTGTGTTGTAATAACTGTAAAAAGTAAATAAGGAAACAACCCATAATTCAGTACCGGTTAAAAAGGATAGATTTATGATGTTTCCCGGCAAATCTGGGCCGAACAGAGGGCTTCAAAACCAGATGGTCTAAGTTTGTCACATTTCTGTGTTTGTGTGGCAATAAAACTGAAAGTGTAGGGCATGTACCTACTCTTACAAATGTGCTGAAGTTTAATTTTGACAAATAAAAAGGAAATTGACGCAGAATCTCAGGGGGGGCCATCGCCCCCCCTGGCCCCCCCCTATGGGCGCCCATGGCGGCGAACAACATTGGTAGAGCACTTACGGCTTCAGTATAGCCCAGATTGATCTGACTGTATGTCGTCGATCCAATGAGGCTCTAGAGGCGAGTCAACGATGAAAAAAAATGTTAAAAATTAATTAACGTCAAAGTGACACTGCCAAAGTCAAAGCAATCATGGATTAGGCATTTCATTTTAAATTTAGATAATATCAAGTAGTACAGGGTATTAGTATTTTGGGTTGCGTAAAAATAATTTTCAGAAGTAATTCTCTCGTGACTAACCCTGTATTTTAATTTTTCAATTTTTTAAATTTTAGATTTTTCGAATTCTGGATTTTTCGATTTTTCAGTTCTTCAATATTTTTGTCTTAATTTTTTTGTTTCAACTTCCCCATCTTTCGATTTTTGGACTTCTCAGGTTTTTATTTTTCGGTTTTTAAAATTTTCGATTTTTCAATTTTTCAATTTTTCTGTTTCTCTATTTATCGATATTTTTGAATTTTCAATTTTTCATTTTTTCTTCTTAGTTTTGAGTTTTCTATTTTTTATTTTTTAAATTTCGGATTTTTCCATTTTAGGTTATTTTTATTTTCCGATATTTTTCGACTTCTCGTTTTTTCAATTTCTCGGTTTTACGAGTTTTTTCAACTTTTGGATGCTTCGATTTTTGGATTTCCCGCTTTTTTGATTTTCGGCTTTTCGATTTTTCACTTTTCCAGTTGTAACGGTTAAATCGGGTTTATTCTAATATTATTGGTTTTATATGTAGACAACCTTTTAAACGGATAATCCACCTGTCATTATCTAGGGGAATTCATGCGACGAGGTTGTCCTATATCTAATTGGTTTAATTTTTCACATTTTCAAATTTTTTTTTTCCACCCCTTCCCATATGAACTCCACCGGAAGGCGGCCATAGTGATTTTTACATAGATCATTAACGAAGTCGGTGCGTCAGAAATTTTCTTGGTGTTCCATTTTAAGTGCCAGTAATTTTGGATAAAAGTGTGGTACTTGCACTTTTCACGACGTACGTCGGATCTACGAACACGAGAAATATATTTTGAAATTGCATTATTGGATACTTAATGCAAAACGACTTGTGTCGGATTTTCTTCTAGCACCGATTCTCATCCAGGAAGCCGCCCCACATCTGCAGGTATGACCATCAGCATCCACTTATTTATTATAATACCTGGGGAATTCAAAACTGTTTGTATTTTCGTGAACTGTCCCAATTTTCCTAATGCACGTGGAACCCCACTGCTTCTTTCTTCACGTGCAGTTAACCTAAAAAAACGCATGGGATCTTACAGGCTTCAAATTATTACTCAAGTCTCCCCTTGGAGTTATCCGTTGGCCGAAGTTTTGACTTCCAAACTAGGGGGAATCGACTCTAAACTCCTTTTGGACGGAGGCTCTTTCAAAGATAATTCCATCAACAGCTGGAGAAGTCCTTCTTCGATCCGCCGTCAACATTAGGGAAATCTTTTTGAATCGTCGACAGGATTTGGAGGGCTGGAGTTGGCGAACCTTCACAGAGGTCGCAAAATCATAGATAAGTCCCTCAACCATTTTGTTATCGATAACGTTAACGTCCTCACAAATAGTGATCACCTCACCTTAATCTTTTTGTTTGTGTCAATCTCATATTATTTAGTTACGCATTGTGAATTATTGTTACTTTTATGTAAATCAATCACTCTGTACCGATTGTTTTCGCACGCCGGTTAACTTCGACCATAATACGTAGCGCCATAGCGCTTACCACAACTGCGTCGTCGAACACAGCTGTCTTCGTCGTCGATAATTTTTTGCGTTTATTCGTTCCCGCTTACTGTGAATCTATCGCGGCGCGGCGCCTGAGGACAATCGTAAATTTATCTTTGAAAATATAATTTTATTTATTTACATAATTGTAAGGTTGCAGTCCAATGTTTATTTCGGTAAAGATACCTAGGGAAAATTCTGGAAACTTACCGTTCCTGTATTTAATTTTTTTTAATATATATATATATACATATTTTTGCATCCCCTCTCTTTCATACGTGTGATAGACATACTACCCCTTTGCTTTCGGGTTTTGGCAAAATACACCAAGGTAGGAACAAACAGTTCGGAAGTAGACCCGTGGCGCCCCTTTCACTGTAGATTTTACTCACCCCCATCCCACTGAGTCAGCTGGAGCATCCGACCTGTTTGTAGGCGTTACACAGTTTTCCAGTTTCCCAATTTTTCGTCATTTGAGCTTTGGATTTCTTCAATTTATCGACTTTTTTATTTTTCAATTTTTAAAAATTTTCCATTTCTCGATTTTTCGATTTTTCAGTTTTTCAATTTTTAGATGTCTCAATTTTTTGATGTTTCAGCTTTTAGGTTCTTCAATTATTTTCCATTTTCCAATTTTTCGATATTTCGACTTTTCGATTTCTCAATTTTTCGATTTTTTTGATATTTCAAGTTCCCGATTTTTTAATTTTGCAGTCTTCAATTATTTTATATTTTTATTTTTCAATTTCTTAAATTTGAGATTTTCCGATTTCTCGATTTTTCGAGTTTTCGGTACTTCAATATCTCTATTTTTTCATTTTCTAAGTTTTAAATGTTGGATTTTTCAGTTTTTTGATGTTTCGATTTCCCGATCTTTCGATTTTTCGACTTCACAGCTTTTGATTTTTCGATTTTTAAAATTTTTTGATTTTTCAGTTGTTTTTTCTCTATTTATCGATTTTTTTTTTAGTTTTAAATTTTCACTTTTATTTTCCGTTTTCGACATTTTTTGACTTTTCAATTTCTCGATTTCTCTACGTTTCAGTTTTTCAATTTTTGGATGTTTCGATTTTTTGATTCCTCGCTTTCGATTTTTCGATTTTCGGCTTCAAAAAATTTGAAAATCTAAAAATTAAAATATGAAAAACGAAAAATCGAAACTCCAAAAGTTAGAAAATTGAAAAATTGAAAAGTCGGATAATTGAAAAATCGAAAATCCGAAAAGTAAAAGATCGAACAATCAAAAGATCGAGAAATCGAGAAGTCGACAAGTCGAAAAATTGAGAAACCGAAATAGGCCAAAATCGAAGAGTAAAAAATTTAAAAATTCAAAAAATTGAAAGATTGAAATATTGAGAAATCGAAAGATCAAAAGTTCGAGAAATCGAAAAGTAATGAAGTCGAAAAATCGAAAAATTGAGAAACCTGAAAAATCGAAAAATTGAAGAATTGAAGAACTGGAAAAAGTCCAAAAATCAAGATATGGGAAAATCAGAACATCGATTAATTGAAAAATCGAAAAATTTAGTTAAATAATCTGAAAAATCCCAAAACTGAAACTTCGAAAAATTGAAAAATGAAAAAAAATTGAAAAATCCGAAAACTGAATTATCCAAAAACTGAGAAAGTAACAACTGAAAAATTGGGAAATCGAAATGTCAAAAATGTGAAGTCGAAAAATCGAAACCTTAAAACATTGAAAAATTGAAAAATCAAAAACCTAAAAAATCTAAAAATTGAAGAATTGAAAAACTGAAAAATCCACACATTCTACAATCAAGAAATGGGAAAATCAAAACATCGATTAATGGAAAAATCTAAAAATTGAGAGTTCATAAAAGTCAAAAATTGAAAAAACCTAAAACTGACACATCGGAAAATTGAGAAATCGAAAAACTGAAAACCAAAAATTGAATAATAAGTAAACTGAAAAATTCTAAAACTAAAATTTCGAAAAATTGAGAATTCGAAATTTGAAAAATCTAGAAATCGCAAAATCTCAATGTCGAGGATAAAATTCAACGCGGGTTATGCGTTGTAAAGTCCGATCAAGCATCTACACACAATACATATAAAATACAATCGGTCCGGTAGTTTTGGAGAGAACCAGGAGACCTAATTTTTCATACTCTATGGGTCATGAAGTGTCGAAAAAACATAAAAGTAGCCAGTCGTCCACTGATGGTAATCTTGTACCATGATAGTAATAACAATAGTGACGAGATTTCTATAAATCGGTGAAAACATCAGAAGGAAGTTTTTAATAAACGATGGTTTTGCTTGGTTCAATATTAATTTATTTTTATTGGAAATACAGACAAATGAACCCTTTTGTACACATGTAAAACCAAAAAAAATTATCCCAAGTAGCACTTATTCAAGCCTCGATTTTAACAGGACCCAATTCGATGCCCAGTTTTTCTTGACCATGGTATTTTTTTTCGTTACGTTTCTCTCCTTCATGGTGATGTTTTTCACCTCCATGGTGAGCGTGTCTCAGATTTCCATGACCCGCTTTGCTCTCTTGGTGATGGTGACGATTTCCATGATGCTCTCTTTTCTCATGCTGGTGATGACCCTTCTCGTGTTGGCGATGTTTCTCATGACCGCCATGATGACGATTCAAATGCTTACCTTCGACCGAGTTGGCGGCGTGGAATGCCACCTCCACTTCATTTTTTATTTTCTTCAAACAAGAACAAGTTGAAGAACTTGCAGAGTCAGATGTAGATTCTGGAGATGTCGATGTCTCAGGTTCGGGAGTTGCACTTTCACTCGAACTTGCGCATGGAGTTTCTGAAGTGGAGGCGCTTTCTTGGGAAGTTGGTGCTTGAGTTGTACCTTCTGTGGTTGGCGAAGCTGTAGAAGCAGAAGTTGGTGATTGACTGGTGCTCTCTGTGGAAGGCGAAGATTCAGAGCTGGACGCTGATGTTGAAGCGGATTCTGTAGTGGTAGGTTCGGAATTATGGCGGGCAGCTGTTTTCAGTGCATGCCGGTCTTTGTGGGTGTGGAAAGCACTTACGCAAACTGCGACTGCAAGTAACAGGAAAAGCGCTCTGAAAGCCATTTTAGTTTTGGATTTTGTAGTAGAGTGGTTTCGCTTTTATATAGAAGGATAGTCAAGGATTTGTAAAAACGGTGGTATTTGGTGTGATAAGTTTTTTTTTAACTGATAAATAAATTATCCCAACAACGCGCAAACCTATGTTTTTCGCTAAATATTTGTTTTTTTGCATAAAGACATGAAGGTTAAAAAATTCCAAGCTTCGTGTATACCTTATGATAAGGTCTCTTAATTGTCGACTATCACTTATTTCTATTTCTGTGGATGAATCACTGTCGGCATTTGAAAAGTAAAGATAAAGATGATTCATTTTAAATATTTATTCAGAAAAATTTAGTGAAATTAATAATGCAGATTGCATATAAAAATGTAGAAATCAATTTGTACAAATTCGTGTCTTAAAATGAGTCTATGTTTAGAAACGTTCAGGAAACTGGAACAATATTACCAGATACGTAGTTGCAGCTCCTGCAATCTGAAAAACCCTCCGTAAGTTATTTATTCTCCCAATAAATATACACAAACCGCCGGTAACAGATTTCTCCCAAACGTAGTCACACCAAAGGCAGAAAATTCGATTTTGCACTGCGACAAAAACGACAGAAAGAAATCCATTGTCCTCCTGAACTCTTCATCCGTGTCAGAAAGTCTCAGTTTACACACAAGAGCCGTTGTTTCTTTTACCTGTAAGCAAAAACTAGAACATAACCTCATATTTACCCCTGATAAATTTGCTAATCGTTTTGTTTCATAGAGTAGTTATTGACACTTACTTGTTGTAAACAACCATGACAAGGCTCGATGATCAAAATTAAACGCGAAATGTGTAGACCCACCCACATGAACTGTGGAACGATAAACGTAGCACTGCTTTGTTCAAACATTAGAACGTTGCGAAGGGAGTATGGACTTACTAGTAAGTGGACTAAACACCCAAGAAGAACCACCTGGAGAGACAAAGTTGAGAATTTGGTTTTCTTTTTCGTGGAATTTACTTACTACCATTACCAAACCGTAGAAGTCGTTCACAGTTCTTGCAGCATCACTCAAACCCTCATAAGCTTTCATTAAAACAACAAATTTCTCCAACGGGGTAGCTAAATAAAAGAAATTACATATGTGTATATGTAGTGTTTTTTTAAGACACTTACATTTTATTGATCTTCCTTTATTAAAGTCAGTTTTGAGTGTATCCACAAGACTACCTATAGCTTTTCGGTTATTCCTTACACAGAAGTTGTCCCCTCTGCCACAATTTATTTCCCGAAGATTCTCATTTAGCACCACTAGTCTAACCTTAATTGAATAAACAAGTTGCCAGTAGACCAGTTCGATTACAAAAATAGAGAAATAAGCAACATAGAAAGGAAAAAAATACGCAAAAAGTGTAAAAACATTTTGGCTTTTGGACCCTATTTCTAGACCTATCACCAAATCGAAGATGAAGATTGTCAAAACGATAAGAACCGTGGCAGCAGTGACTGCAAAGTAATAGAAACTCCGTGGTAGCTTTTTTTGAAGCAAATAGTCAACCTAGAAGTCGTCAGTGTTAATAAAAATTCAAAATTGTTGTTTTGGTCTACTTTAGTCAAGTGGCGGAAGTAATTCAGGTATGTGTTGATTTTGTATGATGTAGCTAGAACTCCAACGGTGAAATTAGACATGACGACTGTAACGTCAATAATTTTCACCCAGAATCCAGTACTACTGCCGGATTTGACGGAGTAGATGACGTTCAGTTGGTAGGCTCGGAAGAGGCCAAAAATGCCAGTGGTTACTAGAATTTAAATTTGAGGAAAAAGCACAGCCAAAGTGTGTTTGTTGCGATTGCGGCAACATAAAAATGAATTTTCTGCAGTCATTTCTAGTTTCAAGCACCAAGCTCAATTATCATTATTTATTTATCTTATCTAAAAGCAACTATATTGCGAATAAAACAACGTAATTAACCAACTCCCATAAAATAATAAACAAGTTTGGCGTGTTTATCGTGATGAAGATAAATATGTTCAAATAACAATAAACTCATTATTATTTTTTTGGTGATAGATTACAACTTCCGCAGAATTTGTTTAAAATATTTAAATATCATCAGGAAATAGTATTAAATGAAATTTATACGTTAATACCTACTTATATGGAAAAGTAATTAGTAATATGAACATAAAACCACTCACCGATCAAAATGCCAGTGAAATAACTATAAGCAATATATATCCAGGATTTCGCAATACAGTGGCTAAAATCCGACTTTTTCCATTTTAAGGGCAGAAGACATATCGCTCTACTTAGATTGTGAATTGGAAAAAAAGGTTTAAACATTTCTTCACTGACAGTAACCGAAGGGTTGGCCATGATGTAATGATTACGACTGAGATAAAATGTATTCGTGTTGTGCTTTTTCATTTTTATTAGGTAATCGTATAGGTAGGGAAGTGAAGAGGATTTGAAATAATTGTGTTATTTTTAGAGAGATACAAGTTAATATTATAATGTATACTTACCAACAAACATATTAATAAGACAACTGCATACGATGTAAGTTTTCGATTTGATTAATGTGCAACTAAAATCGACTTTTTCTGATTTTAACGGCTGAAGACACATGAGTCGGCTTAGGTAGAAAACAGGAGCCAAGTTTTCGAAAATTCCTCGACTAATTTTAACCGAAGAACTGATCATTCTTAGAAAATTAAATTAATTCATTTCTTTTGTGCAAATATGTGTTCGTAGTGTGTATTATGCATAAAACGCATAACTCAAAAAGATAAGACTGGAGTTTCTGACATTCCACAAATGTATAGCGAACCGAATCGTTGGAGTTTTACAATACCGCAAAACAAAATATCCTGGATATCCTAGATTTTTGTACAAAATGAATGCATTTAGAATTTGCTTGAGTTATCTCTGACGCACGAGCTTAGTTGCACACGTGTGTTATTTTAGAAATGCCCAATGTACTCACTGGACAAATAACAAGAGCCAAGGTAACGCTTTCTCTTGTAACTAACCTTCTCCATTGTTTCATGGTCTAAAAACATATAAAATATTCATTGTTGATGTTTACTCTACAGTGTGTACTGTCAGACACCGAAGTTTCATCAAATTGTCTAAAAGAATGTTTTTCTTACCTAGACAATTCATCTGTTTTTTAGTAGCAGAGGGACATTGTTGACGCAATTTTTACAAAACAGGAATCTCAACATCTACTTTTTTAAATAAACTTTATTGCACAAAATCGACAGCCTCAATAACAAAATACGATATTCTGGAAAATTCTAAATTATTTGGCGTTTGTCATTAACCGCTCGACTTTAAAATTACTATTCTTACGGGCATAATCTACTGGTTTAACACCATCAACATCGACGACGTCTTGATTTACACCTCTTTCCAATAAAAGTTTGACAATCGGATACCCATTTTCTTTATTTTGACAAGCATAATGCAAAGGGGTCCGTCCATGGGCATCTGCAACGTCGTCCTTTACACCTTTATCAGTTAATATTGTCACGTATTGGCGGTAGCCCTTTGCGCACGCGCAATGAATTGGCATCACGCCATCTATATCTGGAACATCGAGTTTCGCCCCCTTAAAAATTAGGAATTTTAATAGAAGATCGTATTGGAGTTCGCAAGCATAATGTAGAGGTGTTCGTCCTGTAGAATCTGTAACGTTTAAGTCTGCACCGTGATCAAGCAAATATTTCGCTGTTTTAAAATTTGTGTAGCTATCATTCTGACCTACGTAATGCAGAGGAAATCGTCCAGTTATATCAGGCGTATCCACTTTTGCTCCTTGGTCTAGCAACAGTTTGGCGGTTACATGACTTCCAGTTTGACACGCATAGTGTATGGGCATTTTTTGGTTTTTGTCTGCCACGTGAATGTTTAGTCCTCTATTGATTAACAAGTTCGTAATTTGAAATCCAGAATGTATCTTTTTTCCTCTTGGGTAAAATTTGTTTCCACTCGCGTAGTGAATGGGTAGACGACCATCTGCATCTGTAGCTTGGAAGTTGATGTCCTCGTCCAGGAAAATTTTTACCGTTTCAAGACTTCCACTTTCGCATGCGTAATGTATAGGCATTTTGTTGTTAATATCAGGAATATCAAGTTTTGTGCCTTTATCAAGCAAGAGTTTTACTAGAACAGTACCGAATTTAAAATTTCCGCACGCAAAATGAATAGGCATTCGACCATCTACATCTGTTGCGTCACGGGTTTTCGAATTTTGGTTCATCAGTGCTTCGACTATTTTAAGATTTCCGTTCATACAAGCGTAGTGGATGGGAAGTCGTCCTTTTGTATCCGGAACATCCACTCTAGTGCCTTTTTCTATCAACAGTTTCACTATCCCATAACCGCAACCATTGTTTTCAGACGCGTAATGTATAGGAAGACGGCCTTCTACATCTATAACGTCAAGTTTTACATTTTTATCGAGCAATAATTTTACTATATCGAAACCATCTTGTTGATTCCTACAAGCAATATGCATTAGCGTTAATCCGTTTATGTCGGAGCTGTGGAGGTCAACATCTTGATCTGTTAGCAGTTTGACAATTTCAAATCCTTGTTTCGGATTTTCACATGCGTAGTGTATTGGTAGACGATTATTTTTGTCCACTGAGTTTAAACTATGACTTTCGTTTATCAAAATATCTACTATTTCGATACCATATACTCTATTTTTGCAAGCATGGTGCATCAAAGTCTGACCGTTATCATCTACAGGATTTTCTTTTCCATATTCACGTGTTAACAATTTCACAGTTCTGTCACATCCACTCGCACAAGCGTAATGTATAGGCAACAGACCATCTGCATCTGGAACGTCAATCTTTGCTCCGGACTGAGTCAAGTATTTTGCTATGTGGAAACCGTAACGTTCATTTCCAGAGGCATAATGTATAGGCATTTTGTCATTCGAGTCTGCTGCGTCCACTTTTGCTCCGTTGGTAACGAGAAACTCGATAGCCTTTGAATCTTGCGCATTAGCACAGGCATGATGTATCGGCATACGACCTTTACCACTAACGGCATTTAAGTCCGCGCCGTTGTCTACAAAAATGTTTAATCTTTTAACAGTAATTTCGTAGTTACAGGCATGATGTATCGGCATTTCACCATCTAGATTTGTTGCATTTACATTCCCCCCATTGTTTACGAATAGTTTTATCATTTTATAATCAACATATATGTTGGTGCAGGCTATGTGTATGGGCGTATCACCATTTATGTCAGCTACATTCAGTACCGTCTTATTTTCAATTAGTAGTTTAACAAACTCTAATGCATATACTTCATTTCCACAAGCATCGTGTATTGGAAATTGGCCATAACCATCCGGAACGTCTATCTTCGCTCCTCTGTCGATTAATAATTGTATTAAATCAGGATTTTCGTTTCTGCAAGCGTGATGAATTGGCAAACAACCATTTGCATCCTTAGCATGTACGCTCACTCTCATGTCACACAACATCTCTACAATTTCCTCGCCGTGATTGATATTTTTACAGGCAAAATGTATCGAAATCCGCCCCTTGGGGTCTGGAGTGTTTACTGTTTCGGAATTTTGAGTCAAAAGTTTCACAGTGTCTACATCTGTCAGTTTGCAGGCATAATGTATAGGTAAGTACCCACTGACATCCGGAACGTCGAATTTAAAACCCTTATCCTTTAGGAAATACAAACTGCTAAGGCTCCCAGTGTCAATCTTACAAGCAGAAATTACCACGTTCGGATTGTGTGTATCTCGAGTTGTTTCATCTAGTAACAAGTCTAGGGTTTCACAGCCAGGTAGTGGATGGTAAATCGGTAAAAAATTTTCAACCTGTGGGACCTTATGGGTTGCTCCATTATCAATTAATAATTTTACTGCGTTAAAATCTTGAGATTTCAATTCTCTAAAAGTTGAATAAAGCAAAGTTCTAAGAGCATAATGTAGCGGCACTAAACCGTCAGCGTCTGTAGAATTTACACTCATTCCTAAATCAACTAGAAACTTTCCTATTTCAAACGAGTGTTTGCTGTTGTGCTCAAAAGCGTAATGCATTGATGTTTGACCCTTTGTGTCTTCAACGTCGACACTGATGTCTTTGCTGCGTAAGTACTCTAGATTTTCAACAGTGCCCGCTCGGCAAACAAGACAAACAAACTTATTTAAGTTGATTTCTTGCTTAATTAGCAGTGAAAAGAATTCATCAGAATCAAATGAGCATACTTCAAGTGGAATTTCTAAGTTTTGTCTCACTATGCAGCTGTACTGTTTTTTCAACAAGAATTCTTCTAAGCATTTAAGAGACTCAAGTCGCACTGTCATACTTAACAAGCTTTGTGGATCGAAGTTTTCATAAATATCTCTCAGATATTCTGTATTATCAATATATCTGAAAACAACTACATAATCAAATTCAATTGCATAATACAACATCGTGGCAAACAATTCATTACTGAAAGAAAAGTTCGCACTGTGTAATAGTGGTATTAAAAATGGTAACAAAAGTAATGTCTTTTTTACATTACACGGCAAAGTGTAACCAGTGGGACACATTTTTAGGATTTTTGAATAACGTAATTTCCCGTTTAAATCGCTAATCGTGTCACCAATACGTAGCTTACCATAGAAATTACTTACAACTTGGACGCAACTACGTTTTTCGTTATACATACACGCAACTTCTAGTGCGCTGCGCTTGATCAGATCCCTGCAACGCAAATCTTCTTCTGTGCATTGGTCTAGAATTATACAATTTCTGCACAGCACTGCTACATGAGCTTTAGAATTTTTACACAACATTAAGTCCAAGAAAAACCTGATATTGTTAAATTTTTTATTAGAAATAAAATCGTCCTGTTTTGCTTTTTCTCGATTAGTATCGAACAAGTATAAAGCTGCAAAGTACTCACCGTACGAATTATGACTAAATTCTGGCACGTTTTCTATGGTTACGTTGCTGATTAAACCCACCGGATCCCTCTCTTGTTTGATCTTTTCCAAAAAGTTGTTAAACGAGATGAGACATTCAAAAGTTCTTTTGACAATTACTCTATACTTGCTTTCTAAATATACATAGTAAGCTAATTCCTTGTAAAAGTTTACCCTTTCTTCCATTTCGTCTTCGCAGTCTTGGTCGACGGTGTCAATCTTTCGATTACTTTGACGTTTCTCATTAAAATAAATTTCAAACTTCTCGTGTATAAAATTTTCGTACAAATCTAATAAAGTGAACGCGGTATTTAGAAGATCTGCATACTTTGTCGAATTTTGTTTGAATAATTCTGTTAACATGTAAATTTGCAAAGGAATGCCCAGAATATCGTTATTTGAGTACATTTCTACGTTTACCTTAATTTTATGGAAGATAACGCGTAGGTCATCTTTCGATAGATCTAGACGTTCTTGGACGTAGATTTGCTGTTCCGCTTGATTGAATGGTTTGATATCTCTTGAAAATATATGGAAGCGGTCTTCCAAGACATTCCTCACGTTAGTTCGAGCCGTTATCCACTGTCTTACTCCTTTGTTAGATATAGCGTCTATCAAAGTCAATATAACTTCTAAACTTCGATCAGAAACTTCGTCCAGTCCGTCCCAAATCAACTGCACTTGATCCTTTTCCAACAAAGTTCTAAAAACTTCTGCATCGAAAGTATGACACAAACGACAGTTCTCGTCTAAAATATAGTTAAAAAACCCATCGACGTCACCTCCTCTTTTCCGGAAATACAAAGCATGATTCCTTGCGCTAATCAGAATCGTCCAAATAGAGGAACGGGTACTGATTTTCAAATTTTTCATCAAAGTACTTTTGCCCATTCCGGGATTAGCACAAATAATGTTCGTTTTGTTATCGTCGTTAACCAATTGTGATTCGTGTACACTGTGCGTACTAAATCCGCT